GTCTATTCAATAAATAGTATGGAAAGAATGAGATATCCATATGAAAAAAGATTCCTATTTCATATGATTAACAAAAAGTAAAACTTAACGTTGGTTAAGAACAAAAATTATAAACTATTAAACTGCTACAAGAAAATATGGGACAATGTTTAACAGACTAGAGAGGACATTCCCAAAAAACCGTAGACCCTAGAAATCCTAAAGAAAATGAGTAAACTATTTGATTAAAAATTAATGCTAAAAACTTCTAGGTAACAAAATATACCACAATGAAATTACAAAACAAGTCAAATATTAGGAGAATATATTGCCAAATATCAAAATGAAATATGAATATTCATAATATAAAAAGGGTTTTATCAACTTAAACAACTACATCTATAAGTAGCGGAAAGGAAACTGAGAATTCAACAAAGACATATTAATGTTCAATAAATGTGTAAAGATGCTCAACTTCATTAAAAATTAAGCAAATTTAAGAAGTAAATACTATATATTCACCCACAGGATGATTTTTTTTTTTAAAAAAGACTGCAACATCCAGTGTTTGTGAGGATATAGGAAAAAGAATACACTTGGAAAAGCAGGAAAAATGTCGCAATTTGAGAATAGCTATCAAGATTTTTAATGTAAATGCCTTTGATCCAATAACGCTATACCTAAGTATTTATAGAGATACTTGCAGGTGTGCACAGATACCTGTGCAAGGAAGTTCTTTACAGAACTATTTATAATAGCCTAAGATGGAAAATTACCTAAATGTCCAATGATAGAGAAAATGTCTTACTAAATTATAATATATACAAATATGTAATTTCATGCAATGATTTAAAAGATCTATCTCTGCTGACATGAAAGTCTCTGAAATACATATATTATTTAACCAAAAAAGCACATGGCACATATACCTATATCTACTGATATATCCTTTTCTATCTATTTATATATATACATATATAGGTATAAATGTTTTCACTTGGTATGATCCTAACTTTAAATTAAATACCTCCTATATTCTCTAGCTATGTAGCTCTTGCCAAATTGTAAAACCACTCTAAGCCTCAGTTTCATTATTCACAAAATGGCTATTATAATAATACCTACTGCATAAAGTTGCTTTAAGAATGAAATGAGATAGTCCAAATAATTATGCTGGGTTCAATGTCAGGGGAGGGAAAGCTGTCCCAGGGTAATATGAGAGATAACAATATTGCCCCAGATACCTACACTCACCTCATATTCTCATTTATAAATAAGTTTTGAATATTTCATCCACTATGATGCTTAATGCCCTTGGAACAAAAATCTGCAAGACTAATTTAGTATTATAATGTAGACCGGCCTGCCAAAATCCCTACCTGTGTCCAGAGCAATACAGTATCATTACACAATGGCTCATGATCTGCCGCCAGGCTTTGTTTTGCCTTGATCAGGTAGAACCTCAGAGATGAAAGGAAAATTGACCTAGGTAAAGACTTCCCCTTTCATCAATATGGTCATGACTCTTTCGGTATTCTTATAATAGTTCTATCATTTTTATTTATATTACCATAACTGTTCTACAAATATATATGAATAGTTAATTACACAAATAATAATCAGAGCTCCATCGTGATACCACTGCAATGCAAAAATGCAAAAAACTAAAGGCCAACAGCATCCTGGGTCCTGATATTCAACGCCATTCAAGATATAAACATATATATTTAGTTCAGTCACCTTCACATTGCTCCTCCTTTATTTCACTGAGAAAAGCAAACAAAAGGATGTTGAAGTTTAAGACTTCTTGTTTCAGAGCCAACGAGTGATATTCTATTCCTTGATCAAAGGAAACAAAACAAGACCATATCCCTTGCTTTGCAGCAGAGACAGGCTTTTAGGGATAACAAGTTTACAAATATAGTTAGCAATGACATTTCTGACCCAGCAACCCAAGGCTATGAAAAACAAATAAAGTTAAAATTAGCTTATAAGATTTCAACAAGAATCATTCTTTTTCACATTTCTGGTAGTT